ATGCGAATTTGGTTTGTGCGCGGGTGACCCTCTGCGAGGATCGTGCGCGTCGACGCGTGACTTTTGGAGGAAGTCTCGTACGAAACGCTCAAACTGAGTGGGATCGCCTCTTTGGCAAATCAATCAAGGGTGGACCTTCGTTGAAAAGCTCCTCCAAAACATTTGCCTTCATCGCTTTTCTCTGGGCTTCGGCAGCATCTAAAATCACGTGGGACGCACCAATCTCTTCTTTCCTCCGACGTGCAACTTGAAGACCGAATTCTCCCCTTTGCCTGCGCATACAAATTTTCGCCAATAGCGCAGGTGAGAAGGCCCAGTGCTGACGCGCCTCAATGCCGTTTGGCAACATTCAATGTTGACTGAAGTTGGCTTGTCCACTCAAATCCAGACTTGATATGGCGATCCTTGGCTTTGCTCGGACACCGGTAGTGGTGAACCTGCCTTGCCTTAGAATTCTCCCAGCTTGAAACAGTGCGATGCTAGCGACCGGGAGAACACTCAAGCACTTCACAGGCCTTGCGTGCTTCGGCGAGTGTGAAATCTCGATGGCAAGTCTCAGTTGACCACGACCTTGGGTTCCTCCACATCGGGGGCCCACGCAGCGCCAGGCCTTGCCTTGGTATAGGTAAGTGTCTCCCCACTACGCAGCGTCAACGCTTTCGAAGAAAACGTAAAAGCACTCTCTGTTGACAGCTCTGCCGCCTCGTTCACCACCTCCAAGCACGCCGCCTCTTTGGGGCATTGAAAGCTGAGAGGCACCAGGTTTGTTTCCCGGCTTGTTTTCAAGAACGCCTTATCTCAGCTCTAGCTCTCTTCACTGCGCGCGCGGAACTTCCTCGGCCGTCGCCGTCGCCAGGGTTCTTGGTGGTTCGTGGCTATAATTGGCTTTGGCCCAGCTCTGCATCTTGGCCTTGTTCCCATTTTGATAGGCGCAATTAAAAATTATAAAGAATGCTCTAGTCACACAAACATTATTTACACAGTTGGTCCCGCGCTCCATCCTACCGACTGAGTCTAACTTCTTCCCTACCAAGAAGCATGGGCCGTTGGTCCTGCTGCACCATGTCATGAGGCGGTCAGGAATCAAAGACTTAACGCGAAAGATCAACGTTTGCTACAATGCAGTCAGTGGTTTGGTAGGCGCTCGTCCTCAGTTACTTGGAGCTACATTGAAGAAAGCTGGGGGGAGTGCCACGAGCCTTCGTTGCGATTGAAAGATGAACCCACCTTGACTGAGATACTGGCTTCGACTTTGGGAAAAGTATCTTCTTTGGAGGATACTGTCGTGTTACGGGAGCAAAGGATCAGTGAAGCCTTTGTGCGGCCATTTAACTACGCAACAGATTCGGGAAAAGGCTTGCAAAGCGGCTTTCCCAAATTCGTAGCATCCGTTTCGGAGATGGTCTAAAAAGGTGCAGGTCACCATTAGGTGACGCGGTCTGCAGACCACTCTATGATGACGAAGGCGCCTGAGCAGAGAGGTGAAACTGTGCAAGAAATGGTTTGGATTGATGCAAGATCCGTGTGTGCAAGTAAGGGGGGTGAAACCAGGCAGTGGGTAGGTCTGAGGTGGGTATCTTGGTGGGGACCCGACGTTTTCTCAAAGTGGGATGGACTGTAAACCCCAATGCGCTTTCAGACTATTTGATAGGTGACCATTTACTCGTGTGTTAAGAATTTGAAGTTTTTGTAGAGTGGTAGAATGCCTTTGGCTGCGACATCGTGCTGTTTCAGTTTCGACGGCAAAGAGCAAACATAGAGATAACAGGTGTTCGTGTAGCTTTATTTGGTTTATTTGTCGCGGTGGAGCGGGCAGAGGCCACAAGTGGTGCATGTGTTTCACGCACCACCGAATCACCGCTCCATCATTCACACAGGTCCCAACGAGCAACATCTAGCAACATCTAGCAATAACATGTTTTCTTACACATCACCTATAAACCTAATTTCCAGAGTAGATTAGAAGAAACAAAAAGGAGGAACGGGATTGCCAAAACAACTGCAGTAGAAGGTTGTTGTTAAGTAACAACCTCCCATCAATCACTCCTGTCCTTACATGGGCAGGACAAAGGAAGGAACCCCCACACCGAATCTCTCAGAACACCCCTTTCGATTTCAATTGTTTGAAGATTCAATCTGTTTATGGTATCCCAGCATGTTGCTTATTTATCCTACACAGTCAAAAGTTTCATTTTATATGATTTTTTCATATCAACTTCGTTCGGATAGACAGTTTCATACAGGGAACTGACAAAGTCCTTCCCAAAGCCAAAGGTCAAGTGAGATTAAGGTATGACATTGTCGTTTCCCTGTAGCGACTCCAGTTTGTTGACTCAATCTCCTCGACATTTGCATCCTTTCGTCGTTTTTGCCTTCACTTCAACTGTTCCCTTCGAGTCGACGCATGACTCCGTAGAGGCATGTGGTAGTGCCCAATATCCTGGGCCTGGCCCTTACAGAGACGCGGTTCAGACGGTGATGTTTGCAAATGCTGAGCTTCACCTCCAGGAGGAGAGTGCTACTAGAAGCATGCAACATGGTTTCACTTCCAATGTTAGAGATATCCCATGTGGGCATTTTCATCGTTATACTCTTTCTTGGTATAGTGATCATGTGTTCCCCTCTCAAGTCAGCAACTCCAAGCCGTGGTGTAACGGACCAGGGCCTTAGAGTACTAAGGCTGCATTGAGTGTCTCTCTTTTTGTCAACGAAGGCATACATTTTGACAACCTCGGCTATGAGGGAAGCTCTGGACTAGGTGTGCCAGCGCCTTGGGCCACCCATGTCGTTGCTGGATCTTCGTTGAGGGTTGCGAGCTTTGAGCAGCGAAGTTCCGAGGCTAAGCTTTACTTGGACACTTGGGAAACTTTGCTGCAATTGGAAGGGGCTGAAGTCAAAGGCAGTAGATCCAGCTTTCACCGGCTTGCTTTATCCTCTTGCATTCAGAAGCGACTCTCCGTTACACTTCTTTGCTGCGATCATTTCAATTAGCAGACGAAGCACTTTGGCTAGTACACGGATCATATAATATGTCAATGTGACAAGAGAACGTCATTGTAGGAGAGCGGTTGCAGTTGTCAAGTTCAACCAGCTGCTCTAAAACAAATCTTCCGCATATAGGCTATTAGCGTTTGTGGAATGTTATGAAATTATCCACAAGAATCCATAAGACATATCATATCTTGTAGCACAAATCTTAGCCATGGCGGCTCCAGCTGCAGCCGTCGCTGGTGCTTTTGTGTTCATGGTGGTTTGCAATGTTCTGGCAACCAAAAAATTCTTCGGTGGAAAGGACAACAAGGAATTGTCCGATGAGAACCCCACATATTTGTCACCTGATGGGAAAACCTTTGCTGTGTGGGGGGTGATTTACCTTCTCGAAACCGTGCTTGCAATTGCTCAGCTATTCCCCAGCGAAACTACAGATGCTTTGTTTGATCGACACTGTCCTTTGACGGGCCTGACTGTGCGCGAGAGATTGGTCTTGGCCTTTGTGGCAAATGGTGTGTGGCTACCCGTTTTCAACAATGAACGCTTCTGGAGCGCGATGGTGATAATCGTCATCTACTTGGGGCTCCTGCTCAGCATCTACACCGATGTCAACACTGAGACCACTCACGGGATTTACCAGTACATGTGTTTTGCCAGCGGCATTACCATGAACTGCAGTTGGGTTGTGGTGGCCACCTGTGTGAGTGGCTTCCTTTGTTTGGGAAAGTTGGGATGGCAAGACGAGACTGGTGTTGCAGGCTCGGTGAATGCCGCTGTACTTGTAGTTCTTTTGGTTGCAGGGATCGCTTGCCAACGAGCGGTGGCCAAGTGTGACTTGGCCTGGGCTGGGGTAGCTGCATGGGCTTTGATGGGAATCTACCGGATGCAAACAGTGCCTGACAAGGTGCGATTCCCGCTCGGAGCCATGAGCTCCAAACTTGGTGGAGCTGCACAAGCATGTTCTTACCTTGTTTTGTTCGCCATGGTGCTTGGAGTTGCACTACCACATTTCTCCACATCAGTTTAGCTGCTGAGCCAGCAATGTCTGACTTGTGTGTGCAAGACAGATATAGTAGAGACCGAGTGGTAATGCAGATGCGTGGTTATTCGAGCAAGAAATCATGTGCCAATTGTTTCCCTACCACGTGAGAATTTCAAGTTGATGTGTATTACATTTGACTTGGATGTTGTACTTTATCTTGCAACAGTAGTCCTACAGCAAAGGTTAAGATACTCTGACTGTAGTCGTGACAAATATTGAAGCACTTTTGAGGCAAAGGCCTATGCCTACCAATACTGGCAGTGAGATCCAAAAGTCATCCATCATGGCTGGAGGCGGAGGGAAGGCCCGTTCCTTTTTCTGGTGCAGAGAATTGAATGGGTTCTGGTAGGTTTGTTCGCAGCGGACAAGGCCTTCTTCATGCATTTGGGAGGTCCGATGCTCAGTCAAACTGTACGCTTGTGAACTGATCAAATAAAGTACATTAAGTGGCTGCATTGTTTAAAGGTTTTCTAGAAATCGTCCTCCATTGGTTGATCACCTGAATCATAGAGATTCATCAAACCCGGCAACCAAAAGTTTAGGATGAAAGGATGGGCAATAATTACTCTGATAAGCATGTTGCACTCTCATGCAAGGCTATGATCCCGAGATGCGGTTCTATGGTGGAGAGGATGAAGAAAGAAGTGAAGAAAGAAGCATTCAGCAACATTCGAAGCCATTGGAAACGCTAGGAGATGGAGATTGGCTTTCGGACCTGGCAGTCATTCTCTCAGCTGTTCAATGGCCATGAAACATTTCGACATGAGGCTACATGTGAGCTTGTGAACTTCTGTGCAATTTGCTTTTTTGTTGTGGTCAAGCCTTTCTTGCTGAAAGAGCTTGAAAGGAGCTGGAATCCTCGGCTGCGGCCGTTTTTCCTCAAACATGAAGCCCTCAATCCCACTTGCCAAGCTTATGGCACAAAGATGGGGCGATAGAGCAAGTGAGTCATGGGGCAAGGGCTGTCGGAGCCGGCCTCAGATCTTGCTCAAGAGACTTCTCGTTTGACCCTTTTGCAGTCTCTTCACTTGGGTCTGACATGCTGTTGAATAGCATCACTGTAACCGTAGCTTCCCTTTGGACGAGGACGCATTGTGGGGTGATCCGCCGCAATTATGTCTCGTGGCTTGCACCGCCGCCCGTCTGCCCCTCCGTCAAACGTGGAACAACTTTGCTGAGGTGGTGTTCAGGCGATGGGCGTTAGTGATGTCCTGAACTCCATGTGGGGGGTGACTCGGCAGCATGGAGCCACAGGGTAAAGCTTGATGGCAAGCAAGTGTACGCACCAAAAGTCAAAACGATAACGAGACATCTCTGCCATGTGAGTTCCCATGCGTGTTTACCTTGGGCCTTTTCGAACTCGATTCGATTGCCCAGGCACCTCGTAGGCAAGCGTGAGGTGTGTATCCTTATGGTTGGCCTGGACCGAAAGGGTTTGTCCTCAACTACAGCCAGTATGTCGAGCACCGTATTCTGCCGCATGCCCATGGTCTGGCAGGATTCAGCAGGCAAGACAACCACCTTGTCAAGCCCTCAGAACTCAGAACCTCACATTTTTTGAGTCCAACACCCGAATTGCAGTCTTTTCACTCTCGTTTCACTCTGGTGTCACTCCAAGGTATCGGTTGAAGCTGGGAGTGCAGGTCAGAACACTGCCAACCGTGGGCTTCAACGTGGAGAAATTAGACCAGGGCTTAGCGAGATGCCTTCGGCGCACATCCGCCGGAGTCGCTCTTCACTTCTGGGATGATTGAATTGGGTCCCCATCTGTCAGGAGTATAAGAACATCCTGTTCACGGTCTGGGACCTTGGCGGCCAGACCAGAACACGGCAGATTTGGCAGCACTATTACCAGTTCCTGGGAAGCACTAGCTCGTACTGCAAAAGCCTTGACATCGTGCTTGAGAACTTTGGACATTGTATCTCATATCTATGGTTCAGGAATACGGATGGGCTCATCTTCGTGCCATTCTCAGAGAAGTTTCTGAAAGTGAATGATGCAGTGAAGAGTGAAATTGAGGAATTAAGGGCTCTTCTATATATACCCTTCCCCTGAGGTCATCGATAGCAGTGATCGCGATCGTATTGATGAAGCACATGAAGAGCTCATGAAAATGCTTCAGCGGGACGAGATGAAGGACATCATCACACTGCTGAACAATGTGTGTTTCACTGTTTCATTTCTTTCCCATGTCTTCCAAAATAATCCTTCTTTGGTGCACTACTGCCGATCATGAATCTGCTGGAGCGGCCTTCGAGGATGCTGTGTTGCTGGTGATGGCAAATAAACAAGACTTGCCCAATGCCATGAGCACTCAGGAGAGTCTCAGAATTTGAATACTCAAGATCTCAAAATCTGGTCAAGTGCGACCAGTGTGGTGCTTTCGAGGAGCTGGTGACAAAGCTGGGCTTAAACAATCTCGGCAAGTACCGCAGGAAGTGGCTCGTGCAGGACCGGACCGACCGAAGCAGCATCCGTAGAAGCACAAAAAAGCACCCTGACTGCGGGCTCCAGATTCGGCGCTGCAGAATTGTTGGAAAATAAAAGGGAAAGTTGTTTTTTAAAAACAAACAAGCAACGAGGACTTCTGGTTTGAATCCGATGTTGACCCGGCAGGAGACTTGCGCCACAGTCGGTGAAGGTCTCCATGAGGCCTTGAAGGGCCTTGATGTCGTTGTTGTTCAATGGATTTTAAGAAAGGGCATTATTACTAACTACTGTAGTAGCTTCTTGTTAAGTTCGCAACAAGACGAGACATGTCACATCATGTCACAGCTAAATGCTTTGCACGACAGGGCCTGGATTGGCTCGCCCAAGCTATCGCTGACAAGGGCTAGTGAAAACAATGCTTCTCGCATCTTTTGTGTTCGCACTGATGGTGTCATTTCGGCACAGTTTGTGTCACCCGTTTCACTTCGAGGCACAAAGAGAACATGTCATGCATATGCTTGCACATACAAAAACCACCAAAAATCCACATTGGAATTTCGGATGGGGATCTCAAAAGAATTGAATATAACTTACATAATAGCACTTTTGCCTTGTCTCCACTCCAGTCTCAAGGGAACGCCGATTCGGCTTGAGAGGTTCCAGAGGTCAATGCAAAAAGGACAGTGAATTGGGCAAACGGTCCCAATTGAATTCCAACTGTCCCTTGCATTCAAGTGAAGTTCCAAGCACTGGGATTGTTGGCTTAACTCTTGTTCCCTTCGGTGTTCTTTTGCATTGTATGTAATTGGAAAACTGATTGAACGGTGTTATATTTGTGATATTAGCGAATATGCTTGAGAACTGTTCTTGAATCTTGAATGCAAAGGGAAAGATAGCACGGCCCTGTGGACTCCAAAAGCAGACCAAGGATACAAAGGGATGGTTGGCAATAATACCGTGGCCCGGACAGTGCCAGACTCCACCGCTGCTTGAGTCATGCACCCAGTCGCAGGGTCATGCTAGACATGCGAAAGACCGCACCAAGGACATCTCTGCTGAGAAAAAGCTGGTGCCAAGTGTATTCCATGTGGTCAATTTCATGACTCCGGGAAAAGCAGTGATTCAAGAATTGAAATGCATCGAGGCACTTCCACCTGCATCACTCTCATTCGCTAAAATGATCACTTCACAAGACAACCCCATTGCTGGGGCACACAGTCAGCATCTTCATGTCATTCACAACGTTTTCCAGTAAACGCACTTGCATCGCAAAGATGATGCATAAGGTAAAAGCAGTTTCGGATCTTCCAAATCGATCCAAATCGGGAGCTAGGCAGATACAAGTGTGAGAGCGGATTCTCTAGCAGATTCCCCAAGCTCTTCATCTAAGCTGAGCTTACTCTGCTATGGCTGCTATGGCTATAAGCTTGTTTTGAGCCAAAACGCAGACTGAATAGCTTCAAATTTAAGCCCTCACCTGCTTCGAGGTGCGGGGGCGACATCGAGCCAAGCGCTCAGGCTTTCCACTCTTGCCCTCTAGAGCCCAGGAAGGTGTCAAAGTTTGAGAAGAAATTTTGCAAAGGACTGGAAATGTTCAAGAAAGTGAAAGTAGCAAGAGTTAAAGCTGAAGACATGACTGAGGTACGTTCCATGCTCACGAGTGTATCACATTTTCAGAACCTCTCGTTATTGGCAAGGTTGGACAGGGAGTTTGTGCATGTGTCCAACACTGCAAAGGTTCGTCTCATTTCCTAATTTCGTCCATCCAGGCACTGATTCAGCTGGAGTTGCGTACAAGGCACATCTCTTCAAGTCATTTCATGTGCCAAGCAGCCACGACTCCCTTCGTCTCTAGGTCCCAGGTGTCGAAATCGTGCGGAACAAGCTTCGCGCAGCTGCTGCTGCTGGGATTGGAGATAGGAACCATTGGGAACCCGAAACTGTAGGACCATGGAAACTTGGAACGGTGCGAGGATGAGTTCTGTGAGCAAAAGAGCTTGATTCGTGATCTTCATTCCTTTTGCTTTAGCCAAAGCACCAAAGTTACTACAGTGATGACACGAGGTCACTTTTGGGGGAGACAAGATGGATGGACTCCAAACATCCTTTCTCATGCACAAGCATGCACAGTGACTTGACCGATATTCCAAAATCTCAAACGTCACCAAGGTTTGGATGGACGAGTACGTGCGACACTCATAAAATGCAAAGCAGCGAATGGTGGTTTCATCGAAGCACCAAGTGATTGTGACTCTTTAAGAGAGGAAGTCTTGGTCCAATACGCCTCTGCTCCTCTTCCAACGGGTGTGACACTGGGGGCGGGCGTCTTAACTGAAGAACTGTCCACAGCCTTGAGGAAATGTGCAGCCTCCTGTGCTCTTTTTTTCGCGACTGGAGGATTTGGAGTCCCGGAAATCGTTGCGGCAACATTTGCAGCACAGAGCCCAGAAGCCATTGCATGTGAAAACTATCAACTCTCTTATATAATTCAAAGGATCCAAATCCTGCAGTTTGCATCAGTTTGTTAGATCTCCATTTGCCATGGCTCAAGTAGAACCATGCAGGGTCGCTTTAACATTTTAGATGGGCTTGGTTCCAAGATGCTTCGGTCCATACACCGAGCACGCATTCTGCGCTGGGTGACCGGTTTTGTGATAATGGCACACTTGGGCTGCACGTTCACAGTGCCAAAGCGACCCAGTTTGCTGCCGAGAGCTGCCGCAGCCGAAGAGGTCGAGGGACAAGCAAGAGCAGACTGGGTCATCACTTGCAAGATGGACAGGGATGACGGGGGGCACAAAGGTGTCAAACAGTTGGGTGGGAAGAACTTTCTTTGAGCATGTCCTGATTGTTCCTGTTTGATTCCCCGTTTTGCTTGCCAGGACACCGATGTCATCAAAGCAACACAGGCCCACAGGGCAAGACTTATGAAGTACGGCAAAGCGTGTATGGATGCACTGGGCGCTAAATCAGTGGCAACAAGCTTCCAAGTGATGAGAGCTGCCACTTCCTACGTGTCCGCCTTCCTTGCAACGATGGATGGATTTCTCGCCTTTTACCCTGAGCTTGTAGAATTTCAATCTCTAAATGATGAACCCAGAAAGCGGATGAGGTTCAATACTCAAGCCATTGCGAAGCCAACTATGGTGGGAGAAGTAGAATCTTTGAGGGCTCCTGCTTCTGATGAAAACATTTCTAAATTGGGCACAGTCGTGAAAAACATTGTCACAGAGAAGGGATCTGCCCGGTTGACGGCGATCGGGTCAGAGTCTCTCAATCGGCTGGTCAAGTCAGTGATTCGAGCCAACGAGTTTATCGCGCAGCAAAGTGAAGAGGACGGCTCGGAGAGGCTTTACATTTGGATGGTGCCAGAGGTCAGAGATGCTTCAAGTGACATTAAGCGGCTCTATGCTGTGGAGTTGGTCAAAGGACCAAAGCCCGACCTAGAATGACCTAAATTATATAGGAGTCAAGGCAGGAAAAGCTGGGACTCTTTGGGCTAGAGGCCAGCATCTTGAGATTGACATTGCACGGACTTGGCATGGATGCATGCTGCATGTTTTGAACTGGGCACCTGGATTTTGGTATTGCAAAATTCAGGTGCAAGTCCTTCAAGTGGTACTTGGAAAATGTTGCTAAGGAGGTCTTTGTCCGCACCCTTATTGGAGCAAATTGTTTCCTTTGTTTACGGTGTCAATGGCTTCTTGTTTTCCAGGTACCGTCCATTGAAGGTCTACTTGCTGGATCATTGAGGAACTCTGGTGCGAAGTGAGCAACACAGACCTTTGCAGCATGGCTTGAATTGCCTTGATCGACACCTGATGCATATGCGACATATGCCACGTGTGGCAGGAACATCAAGCTGGATGCCTGCATTGATACTTTGGGCGGACACAGGCAGCTCCAAGCTGCCTTGCACAGACTGATTTCAGATGCTCCTCAAAAACCCACTTTCAAACCCTGTTAGAAATCCATGAAACGGCACAAGGTTCACACTCAGGTCAATCGTCTTGACACATTTACGCCGTGAACACGAAGGCTCAATTTGCAGCTGAAAATAGTGTCTGCGCTACTTTGCATGGTAGCGGAGCCCGGGCCGTAGCGAGCCCGGGCTCCCGCTTGGCACCACGACAGCCACTTCGTGGCCACGGACCTCATTGGTTGGAGGAAGAGCGAAAGGACTCTGGTTGTGCGAGCTTTTGATCCTCGCTTGCCTTGCAGGTGGCATCAGCGCCCCGGCCTTGCAGGAGATCAACTACTATAGTCCAGGACGTGTGATCTCCACAGCCTGGAAAGTGAAGAAGCGCTGTTTCCACTCCGTGATCCTTGAAGGAGACATCTACATCGGCAAGGTCAAGTGGGTGAAGTCAGGAAGAGCTACAAAGGCATCCCTGATCGTCAGGGAGAAAGGAAAGAAGAAGAGAAGGAAGAGGCCGATCCGTGAGGTGACTGTTGTGGTCCCCAGCAGGTGGTCCTTTCTAGAGAGGCTCGAAAGCAAACAAGAGGAGATCCAGGGTGACCAAGTCTGTGCATTGGTGGCACAGTGGAAGTTTTGGGAGCTGGTGGCCTATAGCGGGCAAAGCTTTCCAGGACAAGGCGAAGAAGGAGGAGCAGATTGGAGCACGAGGAGCTACTATCCAAAGCCCCGGAGAATTGAAGCAATGGCTGAAGAAAGCCTGCGGCTCATTTCGACTGCTTTGGAACGACTTCAGGTGACACAGAGCGCACAAGCCTGGTCCCGGCATTTGAAGACGCCGGACGTGTTCAAGCCTGAGTCGCGTGACCTTGAACTCAAAGGTTGGAGCGATTGGAAGTTTTCCTTTTGCAACTATGTGAGGGGCATCGATCCAGCCCTATGGAGGCTGTTGAGAAGGAGCTCAATGCGGACTATGCCCTCGACGACATGTCAGAAGAGATGCAGGGCATGGCAGTCAGGTTGTACAGCTTGCTCACGTCTTACATGAGGCAGAGGCCGCTGAAGTTGGTCCGCCATGTGAAGCAGGAAAATGGGTTCATAGCATGGCAAACTCTGCTCAAAGAAATGCAACCAGCAACGAGGGCCAGGAGTCTAGCCCTACTGACTCAGCTGTCCCGTGTGCAGTTCGCAGAGGGCAAAACACTCAGTGAACAACTCCCTCAATATGAGGCTATCGTGGCCGAGTATGAGAGGATTTCAGCACGAGAGTACAGTGAAGATGCCAAGGTGGCTTCCATACTTCAGGCTTGCCCCAACTACATGAAGCAGCACTTGCAACTCTGGGTCGATGATTCGACGACCTATGAGTCCTTGAAGAACAAGATCCACCACCTTGAGGCTTTGACGACAAGGTGGGAAGCATCGAACAGCTTGGCCCTTCCGACAAGAGCCAGTGGAGATGACCCTATGCCGATGGAGGTCGACTACGTTGGCAAGGAGAAGGGAAAGGAAGGAGGAAAGAAAGGAAAAGATGTGAAAGGGAAGAGCAAGAGCAAAGATAAAGGAAAGGGCAAGAGAGAAGGCAAAGGCTGGAAGGGACAGGAGAAAGGAAAGACTATGTGGGAGAAAGGTCCATGGAGAAAGCCAGAAAAAGGGAAGAATGAGAAAGGTGGAAAAGGCAGCAAGAGTGGCGTGTGTCATGTCTGCGGAAAGCCAGGTCACTATGCTAAGGACTGTTGGAGGAGAGTTCAACAAGTTGAAGAGCATTCAAACCCTGGTGGAGCAGCAAGTTCGTCGACAGGGCACACAGGTGGTGGAACTACACCACAGACTACGTCAGTGAAGATGGTTCGCATTGCAACACCACCTGATGCACCGTTCACTGAGGTCTTTGATTTGACCACGCCACGGACCGCAGCAGATAGTGAGTGGCACCCATGGAGAGTGCAGATGGTGCAATTGGCTGATGACTTTGAGGAATCAGAGCAGCTGGTGGAGCACGAAGCGGAAGAGATGAAGCATGAGGTGTTCTATGATTGCCTGGAACCCTCAGTCTGGGCACCTGAAGCAGTCCCCATCATTGCAATGGACTTGCAACAAGTTGAAACTGAGGACATTGCCTTCCATATGATCCAGATGGTCAGTGTTGGTGATTTGGACGAGGAGGCATGCTTCGTGACGCTCGACAGTGGAGCGGATGTGTCAGTGTTGCCAGCCAACTATGGCAACGTGGGAGAATGGAGGCCAGGTGCAAAGAGTTGAAGATGGTGGATGCTCAGGGGACAAGAATAGCTCACCAAGGCTTGACACGAGCTAAGGTGAGAGTGAAAGATGTCAGTGGCAAGGAGATTGAGATCATCGAAGAGTTTGTTCTTGGGAATGTCCAACATCCCATCATTTGTGCTGGCAGGCTGCTTCGAAAAGGATGGAGCATTCAATCAAAAGAGGACAGCCTGCAGCTTTGCCACACCGAGAGAGATATCACCATCCCCATTAGCAATGAACGACATTCTCTGCAGTTCGAGGCAAGGATTTACGGGATAGAGCAGAGGAATGGCAAGAAGACTGAAGAGAAGAGGGTGATGGTACTTCGAGGCTATCTCAGCCGCTACGTAGAGGAATTGGAACTCGTTCCAGGTTGGCACAGATTGCCAAATGGAATGCTAGCCCATAGTGATCCAGTGGCTATCTACATGGTGGATCCCAGCCAGAGCATTGAGGGCGACTGGAAAGCTCGGATGACCTTGATGAAAGACAAAGATGGTCTCTGGAGGCAGGTGGAGAACACAGAGGACTACAAGGAGCAAGGTGAGAAGGCTTTCAGGAAAGTGAGCGCGGATAGGAATCCTGAGAGGACGCTCACGTTTTTTCTCGCCCTACAAGCTTCTGGACTATTGGGCACCAAACTCAGAAGTGCCAGTACACCCATATCCAGAACCAACAGGCGAGATCAGGCACATTGAATGGTCAGATGAAGAAGAGCAAGAGAGAGAGGAGGAGCTGGAAGAACAAGTTGAAGCTCAGGACATCGAGAAAAGGTATGTCCTGGAAAGAGAAGATGAAGTCGAGCTGGACGAAGTGCTCTACAATGAGAAGAGTACAGTGAAGGAGTTGCAGCTGGCATGCAAGGAGAGAGGATTGGCTTGCACTGGTAGCAAGAAAAGGTTGCTGTCGAGGCTCATTGGTTTCAAGGTCGACATCGAGGACAAGTTTCAAATGAACATTGCAAGCAAGCTGTTCAGAGAGCAGCAACGTACACCAATGACCTTGGGGCAACCGAAGCTACCATCATTGCCTGAGTAAGAACTCCACTTCGTCACTCATTGGCCCTATGCACCATGGTGTCAGGCATGTATGGCGTCAAGAGCAAAGGAGGACAAGCGCATGCCACAAGAAGGAAAGCCGGATCTAGAAGGCCGAATGGAGGAGCCAACACAAGGGAGAGTTCAGGAACGGCAGGACCAATTCGGCACTTGTTTGATCATGGCTTCAACAGAAACCAAAGCAATTCATGTGGTGCCAGTACCCAGCAAAGGCACCGCCAGTCTGAAGCAGGTGACTGAAGAGGTGATTCGCTTTTCACTGGAAAATGCAGGAAGAGACAAGTGCATTTTCCAAGCGGACTCTGAGAGAGCAACTCGCCAGATCCTGAGGTCTGTTCAGCAAGTGAGGAAGGTGATGGGATTGCAGACTGAACTCCGCCTCACAGGAGCAGGGCAACACGCTTCAAATGGATTGGTGGAGAGAGCTGTTCAGACAGTGAGGAGGCTGGCAAACTGCTTGAGGTCATTTGCAGAAGAACGAGCGCGACTATCCATCTTGGGGGACAACCACTTGTATCCATGGTCCTTCACGCATGCATCGTTCTTGATCAACAGATACCGTGTGCTGGAAGGTGTTGGGAGAACGAGCTATGAGCTGGCCACAGGACACGAGTACAGAGGAAAGTTAGTACTCTTTGGTGAAGTGGTCATGTACAAGAGGATGATCAAGCACAAGGGATCAAAAGTGTTTGAACAGGGCATTTGGTGTGGAAAGCACTCTTTCAACGACTGCCACATTGTGCTGACGCCAGAAGGAGCATGCGAAGCAAGGACAATTCGAAGATTGGCTCCAGAACAAGCTTTTGATGGCCCAGCCCTCATCACTTGCAGAGGATTACCATGGGCCTACTCACCGCAGGGCATTCTCATGAAGCATGGAGGCCAAGCTCAGAAGTACCGACAGCCAACATTGGAGGCAGAGATTCAGCCAGAAGAACTTGACAACATAGCACAAACAGTGGCTGCAGGACTGGTCACACCAGCCCCAGGCCTTCATGCTGGTCAAGGTCAACAAGGAATTGATATGGCTGCACCAACAACACCTGCACTGCCAAATCCATCAACGAAGAGGCACCAAGAGGAGGTGGAAGACGAGCAGGTTCTGAAGAGGCAGGATACCACCGAGTCGCCAAGCGTGTCGAAGAGGCAGAAAGCAGGAGAGAGCAGCGAAGGAAGGCTTGGAGGTACGGAATGCACATGGAAGAAGAGAAAGATGCAGTGAGAGCAACAAGACCAGCCGAACATGAGGCTGAAGGCTCACCCAGTGGAAAGATTGCAAAGCTGTATCCACCGCACTACGCAGGCATCCAAAGTGTTGAAGCTCATGGTGATGAGGAGTTGGGATTAGAGCGCATCCCGGAAGAGATGAATGAGGAGATGCAATACAGCTATGGAGGCGAAGAGGATGGTGACCCGCCAGAAGTCACTCAAGAAGAGTTGGATGCTTTGGACAAAGAAGCAACAAAGGTGGAGATTGAAAGAATGCTAAAGATTCCGGCCATGGAGGAGTCAACGAATGAGGAAGTGAGAGCATGTTCAGGGCACACCATTTCAACGAGGCTGGTGTACACATGGAAGCACAGGGTGGAGCAAGGAGGATGGTTTCGACGAGCAAGACTCGTTGCAAGACAATTCAAAGCGAGTGTGGATGCCGAGCAGACATTTGCTCCAACATCGCTCATGATCATACCCAAGATGATGATCCACGTGCTTCTGAATGTGTGCGCA